TCCCTCCCTCCCCCAGCTATTAAAGAAAAGGATTTCTTTGGTGACTTGGATTCTAATTGTAAAGTTCATTTATTTACTGTCTTATTCTAAAAGATTTGAAGCAATCATACATCATACCCAGTGTAATAGTCACTTTTCTGTTGCTGTGACAAAACACTGTGACCAAGGGAACTTATTTAGCTTATGGTTCCAAAGGGACAAGACTCCACTGAGCAGTGGGAAGGCATGGTGGCAGAGGAGGCTAGAGTAGGAGCAGAAAGCAGAGGCTCACATCTTCAAGCATGCACAGGAAACAGAAGGCAACTGGCAATTCAGCAAGGCTTAAGAACTCTTTAAGCCTGCCCCCAGTGAACTACTTCCTCTAGCATGGCCATACCTTCCAAGACCTCCCAAAATAGCACCACCAACTGGGTACAAAATGTCCAAATACTTGGAGCCTATGGGGAACATTCCCATTCATACCACCAATGCAGAAACAAGGGGCAAGCCTACCATCTCCCCCATTAATACTCACCATGCTTGCATCAATGACCTGACCTTTCCCAGAATGTGTGCGTTCAAAAAGAGCCAGCACAATGCCCAGTGTGCACATGAGGCCACCACCACAAAAGTCAGCCAGGAGATTCAGCGGAGGGTATGGTTTCTCACCATCACCAATCTTTGACAAAACACCTATACCATGAAAAACAAACAGATGAACATCTTAGAGAGACAATCAATATTTTATATTCCATTGGCTTGAGTGAAAAAGAGTACACAATGCTTTAAAAAATCTGAATCCCCTCTGCTTCCCTGGGCCTGCACAACCCTCAGGACTCTCTCTAATACACAGGCCTCTCTCTCCGGGGTAAGTCGATCGCTCCCTCTGCGCCTTGACTAGCCCAGCCTCATTCACCCTCCCATCTCCCCCAAACCGTCTCTCCTGCTAGCCTGGGTCCTGTCACATTCCTTGTCTTGGCACACCAGACACTGGGGTAACCACCAATGCTTCCTGATCCTTTGCATCAGACCAACTCAGTGCCTTCTCTGGTCCCCAGGAGCACTGCTTCTGGACCTGGCCCCGCCCTCACCTCCCTCTGCTTCCCTGAGCCTGCATGACCCACAGGCCTCTTTTCAATACCCAGCCCTCTATCCAGGGTAAGTTGATGGCACCAATCGTGCCTTGACTCCCACAGCCTCATTCACTGTCCCATCACCCCCACCTGTCTCTCCTCCTAGCCTGGGTCCTGTCCCATTCTGTCTCTTGGCACCCCACACACCTGGGGAACGACCACTGCTTCCTGATCCTTTGCACCCAGACCAACTCAGTTCCTTTATCCAGTCCCCAGGAGCACTCTGGGCCTGTCCCTGCCCTCACCTCCCTCTACTTCCCTGGGCCTGCACAACCCACCATCCTCTTTCCTGGACCCCAGGGCTGACATTTCCTCTTCCTGATCCTTTGCATCCAGACCAAGGGTCTGCTTCCTGCCCCAACCTTCCTTTGCATCTCTGGGTGGCATGGCCACCAACTGCCCCAGACCAGCATCATTCCTAGGCATAGCTCCCAGGCCAGTCCAGCCCCCAAATTCCTGAGGCCAAAATCTTTCTTGGAGGGATCCAGACCTTAGGAGAAAGCCTGAGAGCATCTGATCCTCATCTGACTTGGGCCTCTGTGGGAACTCCTGAAGAAAAAAGCAATCTGACCACTCCAATATAAAATCAAAAGAGAGAACCGGAAGCGTATTTTTTTTTTTAGATGAACCAACTTGTCATGCCCAAAAAGTAAACCACAAAGACACATAAAGTTCACAAAAAGAAGCAGACCTAAACTTGAAAGCCTGAGTCTCACACAGGAATCAGAAACTACAGAAGAAATTCACATGTCAAAATCACAGAGAAAAAAATAGTAACATGAAAAACCAAAATAACATATCCCCACCAAATGTCAATAGTCCTCTAGAGGAGTACAATGAGAACCCCCTAGAGATAAAGCAGAATGTGGAACTCAAAAGAACAGTTATAAACATGATAAAAGAATTCAGTGAATTTAAAGAACACACAAAGAAATCAAAGAACTGAAGGAAGATAGGGATAAACTTCTGAATTCAGAAAAGAGAAATATTGAAGAATACTCAGGATGAAATGAAGAAGGAAGTGAAACTGTCACACCATCTCCAATGGAGCCGTGTGAGATCCTCCATGGGTTGAGGCTGAAACTTCAAGGAAGGTTGCCTCTTGGAACTGGCTGTGCTAAAAAAGACATGTTGTGTACTTGGCATGCTTTTACTTGCTATTATCTTTCTGACTGTCACTGTATCATGGGCTTTCAGGGGACCTGGAAAGCAGCTGGTGTTCTTGACACTGCTGTCACTGCCTTTATTGGGATCTTTTAATCATCCTAGTATGCAGGAAGAGTTCTCAGGAACTCAATCACCTGAGATGACTTTGCCTCCAGATACATCACTATTAACGAAAGCCATTTTAGATGCAGCAAGAAGTAGTCAAGCAGAATTAATGTTGGAAAGTCCAGGGAATAATAAATTTCTAGAAGGAAAGGGAAAGGGAGTATGTTTAAACTTCCAGAACCAACAGATGAGCCTTTACCATATACAGGAGCCTCTGATGAAGAGGGGCATAGATGGGTAAATATAGATGGAAGAAGGGTTTCTTGGTATTCATTACAATTCATGGATAAATTGGCAAGTTCAAGACCACTTTAGTGTCTTTTTGACAAAAAATCAACGAGAGCATTAAAAGGCAACTACAGACTGTAGTTAAGGATTGGAAAGATAGCTGAGAAGGATAGTTACATAGATCCCTAACATGGGATGACTTTTTAGGACCTATGAAACATGAAACAGAAAAATAACTTAGAAGCCCTATGGCCCACCACAAATGAGCAAGGAATATTATAGTAAAGAATGTAATATCAGGTACAGCTGATATTGAAAGTACTTGGTGGTTTAGGGTCATTCTGACCTGGAACCACAAAGCTAAGCAGAATCCTGAGTGCGTAATAAAAACTGGCAGTAGAAACCACAATATCATAAAGCAGGAATTTGCTGGCTAGTACCAAGTTGATAAGATAAGGAAATGTATTTTGGCTATACATGATGGTTGGCAAAACTGTTTCACTCTTATCTCTGGAACTGAAAATCTTAGAAAGTGATTAACTGCAGAACAGTCATGCTGTTAATGAAATTTTGCAATCTTTGCTGTATATATCTCAAACCATGCAGCTGCAAAAATACACTCAGACATTCACCAAGCTCTTATGTGTCTGTCTGTTTGTCACTCGCTGAATCCTTGCCCACCGTCTCGGGAACCCTGCTCCCATCAGACTGAACTGCTCCGGTCTGGGCTGGTATGTCGCATGAAACACTCAGTAAGCCAATTAGAAACAAAAGGAGAAAGCCTCACCAATAAGATGAATAAAATGGAAAACAGAGTGTCAACTGAAAGATAAAGTGGATGAACTAGACCACTCAAGCAAAAATTATGAAAAATTTAAGAAATCACAAGAATGGAATATGCAGGAATTGTGTGACACCATGAAAAGACCAAACTTATGAATCATAGGCATACAGGAAGGAGAAGAATCCCAAGATAATGGCATGGACCAGATCTTCAACAGAATCCTGGAAAAAAACTTCCCCAAATTAAAGAAAGACATGCCCATACAAATACAAGAAGTATATAGAACACCAAACAGACAGGACCAGAAAAGAAACTCTCCATGGCACATCATAGTAAAACCACTAAATGTACAAAACAAAGAGACAATACTGAAAGCTGCAAAAGAGAAACAAATCACATAAAAAGG